AATGAGACTTTGTACTTTACAAGGCTCGAAGAATACACAGGAAAGTGACCGTACCGAGAGTTTCATTTTCTGTGCATCGAAACAGCGGGCAAAGAGTTTTTAAGTTTTTAAGAGTTTTAGTTTTTAAGAAAATAGTTTCATTTTGCCATTAATAAAAGGTTAAATCTCAAGATCCAGTACTTTGCCTACTGACATAATTTTCTGAGACTAAATATCTCTGAAGAAAAGGTTTTTCTATTAGGCTTGAACTGAAATTAATGCTGAAATCAGTGGCAATAAAAATATTTTAGAAAGATTCGGGACAACAAATGAAATTTGTAAAATTCCCAAAGAGTTCATAGAGTTTATATTTAGCCGATGCAAAAATAATGTATTATACCCAGCGCTGATACTATGAGGATACGGAACACTTCATCATATTAACGAATATTTCTGAATACAGCAGGCAGTACGTATTGTCATTGAATCTCCTGCTCATTTCTGATCTAAAGTAGATATTTGCAAGCCATTGGCAATGGATTCCAGGAAACTTCATTTAAAGAATTTTAGTTTGCATAGAAATTGATTTGATTAACATTCATCATGGTTGTTTCTTTGTCCTGCACATGCTCTGACTTAAAATGTTTCATGGCTGTATGTCACATTAAACGCAATAAATAATTTTTTAAACAAGGCCTAAAGCGATATTTTAAAAAATCCATTCCTAAGGAGCAATTGCAAACAGCTGGCAATTATATTAGCTGTAAAGGAGCACGCCTCTGTATTCCTATGGTGAAGTTTATTGCTAGATCAGAAATGGGAAGGTTGGCTTGTAAAATACCAGACTGTTTATCTCACTGCAAGTAAGTACACAGCGAAAAAAAAGGTCTCCAAAAAAGAAAAGCACATCAAAAGCCTAACTCTAGCACACAGGCATTATTTCCAATGTTAGCACTTCATCTTCTCTCAGCACACCACTGTTAGCTGAGACCCAAACCACCGCTCTCGGAGGTTTTCACCAGTCACCCAGGCAAAGCCACGGCTGCCCTGATCTCCTGCTGGCGACAGTCCTGCTCGGAAAGAGAAGCTGGGTTCTGGGGCTTCCCAAGGCCCCTTCACACCAGCATGTCCAGAACTCTGTCATTTTGTCATCCCAAGTCGCTGCTGGGACGGAGACCTTGCAATGGTTACGCTCCTTTAAGAGAGACGGCTAACACAGATTTCATAGAGCAACTGATAAATAACCGTTCAAGTTTCAAGCAACGACTATTCTGCAATTTCTTTCTGCAATACATTCCAGTAGCTCTCAAAGTGTAGAATGCTATTTTCATTATTAACCTAACATCTGAAATAATAGAATTTTTTTACTGTGATAAATGGCATATGCCTACAAATACACCTGTCCCTGAAGGGGCAGCCATCAGGAGGAAGAGCACACAGACAACTCTGTGTCTTCACCTACAGCATCCCACCCTGTCACCGCAAGTAGCACAAGCGCACTGCAGCCACGGAGAGCCGTGCCCATTTACACCGGAGGTCCAGCTAGACCTGAATCCAGCCTCTGCTCGTAGCTGCCAGTAACCAGTGCCTTCGCAGGGGATGATATCAAAGAACACTATTTTCCTCTGGCAGATTTGGGCAATCAGTGGGCTCGGGCCTTCCGGAACTGGAGGTTTCTGGCCGACAGTTGTATTAAATAGCCATTGAGGGGCTGTCTGCTATGGATATGTCTAATCCTTCTCGTAGCTGATTTATTTATCCATCTTCTGCAATGTTCTTTGCAAAGATGTGTACAATCTACTCATAACTTGACTGGGAAATTAAATTTAACTTCGACGTACTGTCTGTTCTTAAGAACGACTCTGTGAAAGTAGCGTGATCCTCTATTTACGAAAATAGTTTCTGATCCTGTGCTTATTGTCTGCCAGTCAAGTTCAGTCTGGAAAACTGAATCTGTTTCATTCCTAAATTAAAAGTTTGTTTTCTAAAAAGCATTTCTGAAATTTCAGTACAAGCGCTGAGTTAGGCTTTTATGCTGGTCTTTGGAAAAAACCCCAACGAACCCAAATGAAACAAAGAAGAATGTAACTATTTTGTTGATAACGCCTGAGGTCAGACTCCACCTCACTCTCCTGCATTTGCTCATAACATTGCATCAGTAATACTGAAACATTAAGCTGAGAAAAAAAATCTGATCAAGTAAAAAACTGATCCCGACACCTTATAGATGCAGTGATCTATCAAGGCCAGAGTCACAGTGTCTTCTGAAGAATTCTGCGCTCACATCACGTTGCTGGTTATCCAACAGTTCAAGGGATTTTGGAATGGCTGTCTGTGGTGGTGACTCGGCGGGTGTTTGGTACCTCGCTCGGCATGCTAGCAAACATCTGCTCAGCGTATGGTGAGACTTTAAGTGACAAGTTCCCGCTGCGGTTCTGAGTGCACATCTCTACTTTACCAAAGCATCCTTTCCAATGGCAATGATTGATGTCCAGCCAGATTAGTCCAGAAACTACTATATAAATAGCCTTATAAAATTAGCTGCCCTCTTGCAGGCAGATAAGTCTTCTCGGGCACAAGCAGAGAAGAGTGTAGGCAGTTTATCAATAAAAGGCCTCCAGACTTTAAATGTTGCACATTTAATTGATGTTCAACTTACTCAAAATCCATTTTTGCTTAAATTAAAGCTACTGCCATTATAATTGTCTTTGGAACACAGTTTCTTTTCATTGTAGGAAAATTGGGCAAAGATTATTGATACTAAAACATTAAGACCTTATATTTTTGCCAGCACAGAAGACTGCAGTTTTGGCAGAAGAGGTTGGGATAGCATCATTGGGAGACAGATGAACCAGCCTTTACATGCAGATAGGCCTGTTGCTGAAAGTAGGGCTTCCAGCGGTTTTACTGCACTGATAGCCACAAAATTCAGCTGTCAAGCAGCCTTAGCAAACCGACAAGATAAGGGCTTGGTTTTTTTATGTGACCATATGACTGTGGTAGATTAAACAGCTTTTTTTTGTGAGGCTCATTTTATTAACTGCTCTCAAATTCATTCAGCCTGTCTGAAACGGTCTCATAATTTGCCTTCTTCCTTGCTGCAAGCAGCATAACTATGCTGAGGTATGGCACTGATCATCCCAGAGCTCCTAGCTGCTCATCTCCCATGAACTACTGCATTACTAATATTTCCCTTAGTGACAATTAAGTAATTGCACTCCGATGAGTTAACATGATATGTAAAGGGAGGCCAGATCCTGCCTCCCACCGAAACGACTCTGTGCCACTCAGGAAGCACAAAGGGGACAAATGCCTGCATGCACAAGGGGTAGCTGGGGGTGCCCCCACGGTGCAGGTGGATGGCTCACAGGCAGGAGCCTGGCTGAAAAGGGAGGTGAGATAACTTCAATTATTCCACAACTACCTTCTAGTTTTCACATGGAAAGCAAATCCAAGGAAGAGAATTACTTGGCAGTGGTGTCAGTTTCCACGTTCCTACGCCCTTGGCAAAATCATTTTGATTAAAACAATAAACCAATGATTTTTAGATTTTGTTACCCTTGCACAGGAGTGCCAGAGGTAGGAGGAATAGCTTTACTTTCAAACCACTCCTTTAAAAGATTATCTAATGGGCAAACTCTAAGCACATTCAAAACCAGAAAGAAGTCTGACGAAGCAGATGGGCAGAAAGCCAGGTCCTTTTGGACCTCAATAATTTTGAGCCAATCTTTCGGTGAGTCACCTGTTGTACCTGTTGTTTCCAACAAGCGTGCAGTTTATGTACAGACCTCTCTGCCAGGGCCAGCCCTCCAGAGAGAGCATAGTGTCACGCTACTGCCCGCTGTGCGAGGCACCTGCCTCCTCGTACCGGGAGGACGGATGCAGTTGGTGCCCGTGGCCAGGTGCTGCCGCAGGGGGGCTGCCAGGGGGGCCTCTGTGAGAAAGGACCCGGGGTTGCCCCATGCCAGACACAGCCGCCTCTAGCTGGCACCAGCGGACCTGCCGCTGGGCAAAGCCAAGTGTGTCAGCAATGCTGGTGGCGCCTCTCTGAAAACCTGTTCAAGAGAGGGTAAAAGATGCTGTGCAGCAGCTGTGAGAGAATGTGGGAGAAACAGCCCTGCAGACACCAAGGCCAGTGAAGAAGGGGGGGGAGGAGGTGCTCCAGGCACTGGAGCAGAGATTCACCTGAGAGGGCAGCTGGGTGGGCGTCTGGTGGCCAGCCAAGGTCAACCCACCACAACAGACCGTCAGGGTGGAGGGAGACTCTTCTGCCTCCCTAACAGTGCATGTGGTGTGAAGCACTATGGCAGACCCAGCTCCCCATCAGCTCTGTGTCATCTCAAGGTCCGAGCCCGCAGGACACAAACTTCCTACCTGAAAGAGACAGACCCAGAGGGACATCTGCAAGGCCCACAGTAGGTCTGGTGCCGAACGCTGGACCCAACAGACACACCTTTCCTCTCCATACCTAATCAAATCTTCCCCCTTCCTGTTTTTTCATTTATAGAGGAAAAATGGCAGAAGGCCAGCCCCACCTAAGTATTCAGATGTCAGACTCGAATACAAATGGCATTCCCAGCAGAAGGCAGTCCTCTCCACACTTAGCTGGCAGGGGAGGAAGCGTACTAACTTTCCACAACATCTGCTACCATGTGAGGATGAAGACTGGGTTCCTGTGTTGGCAAAAAACAGCCGATAAAGAAGTTCTGAGAGATGTCAAGTACGTATTTAAACATCTCTTTAGAGTATGTGTATGTTTTATTTCTGTCCGGACATTTGAGTCCACTCATGTCACTGAGCCACTAAGCACAATATACAGAATTTGATCAAGATTTAGAAAAATTATATGTGTGTACGGTTGCTTTGTGTTTGCTATCAGCTGTGCTTAAGCTTCCTGCTAGCCCCAGTGGTCCTCGGTCATTAGAGCTGAGCCTGTACAACAGAGAGCTGGCGCTGCTGGCCCCAGGGAGGGACAGCCTTCCTGGCCGCTATCAGCACGGGGGCACACGAGCTGGCTGTGGTCGTTTTACACTACCTGGCAAGTCTCCCGCTATGCCGTGGTGTTTAACTGAGATACGAGCAGCCTGTCCTCGATGCTTGCGTCTCCTTCCCCAAGGTGGCCTTTGGGAAGGTTAATTTTGGGGGTTTTAACTTAAAACGTTCAAGACAATAATATAAGCAAGGGTTAGGTTAACTTTGAAGAGATGTAAAGTTTTACCTTTTTGGGTTTTTTTTCCAACATTGAGCGCTACTGCAGGAAAGGAATCACGTCTTTATGGCCTTTGTTCAATAATCTATGCATAAAGTTTTCCCATTCACAGTTCAGCAGTTAAGCTAAGTGGCAAGTACTCATACAACATGCCATTCCAAGTCACCCGTGACTTTCAGCTCCCTAACTCCAATTTCTACCATAAATATTCACCCTTTTGTGTAGCTCTCTCTGCCCTGCTCTTTGCCCATGCAATTTCCACACCTCCTAAACATGAGCTCTTAAAATCTTTCCTACTCTTCTCAAGAGCCGTACGTTATGGTAACTCAATTGACTGACCTTGGTCATTTGCAACGATGTGGGCAGAAGGCCCCTCTTGTAGCTTGTTGTAGAAGACCAATGTTTAACACACATTACGCTTTTCCCTTTTAGAAAACGCAACATCTGCATTTGTTTTGTTGCATATTGGGTTTTTGTGTTAAAATCACATATAACGTAACATAACATATGTGTAATGTGTATGCTGCTTAATCTGTGGAACCATAAATTTCCACAATAAGAAATCAAAGGAAACAAATACGTATCAGGAAGAGCCAAACCAAGCCTCCTAGGTTGCATGTCACGAGACCGTAAGAACAGCTGTATTGGGCCAGAGCCACAGCCAAGTACAAAGATCGCTGATACCTGGATTGCTGATAACAACCACTATCAGAGTGCAGTTCAGGATAAACCTGGTATCATAACATACAGACAGGCATTTGTATGGGCAACGTGATTCTTGTGTACACCAAAGCTTGTCGAGTGCAGATTTTAGGGGCTAGTCAGGAAAAATAACAGTGATGCCTTCATGTGCTCCAGCAAAAAGATAAAAAAAAGGCAGCAGTATTTCCACATACTGTATCATTTCTATAGGGTCTTTTCTCCAAATACTTAAAAAACTTTTCTGTCTGGCTTTTGAGTTCCATGTGGCTTAAAATCAGATACAGAGAAACTATCAACTGCAGTTTCTGGAAGTACAGACAAATCCCCAGTATGTTCTGTCTACAGGGACCACTATTCTCTCTGCGAAGAGAATAATACCTTTAGAGCTGAATGTGGTTAAAGCAAGCGTGTGCGTCACTTCTAGAGATCCATGGGGGAAAAGCGTGCACACAGGTTTTGCTACATTTTACTCAAGTGTCTGTGTTGTCTTCATTATATGAAGATTAGTTCTTCCTGAATTAGGAATAAAAATTAAGGTGGAGTTTGACTGATCATAAATATTGTTTGTGATCGGGCAGCTTGATTAATTCCAAAATTAATGGGATGCAGAAGGTAGTTCTACGGATAATTTACACTAGCCTACCAGATGAAACAGTTAAAGAGATAAAAACACCCTATCTATTTTGTAAAACCTATCATCTGTTTTGTCTTACAGTGGCATCATGAGACCAGGACTGAATGCAATTTTGGGACCCACTGGCAGTGGTAAATCTTCGTAAGTGCCGTCTTTGCCCTACACAGAAATTACACCAAGGAGAAAATGAACCTGCACATATTTAGGAGTAATGGACAATACTTGCAGGGAAAGATTTTGTTTTCATTTAGGTCTGTGCAAATGTCACTGGTTTCTGAGAAATACCTGAATTCAAAAAAAGATAATCAGCTTGCATGACAAAGATGTAATTCAGTTTTAGTCCACGCTTTCCTGATACACGATCTTTACGTATCATTCTAGGTTAAGCTCATATTATTGAACGAATGGACACAAATGCACTATGAAATTGCACAGATCTCTTTTCCTTAGGAAACCAGAACAAAAGAAACTCAGCCCTTGAAAATTCCTGGGGGGTTTCTAAGTAGTGAATGTTTAACATGGGATGCTTTTATGTAGCTGTTCGTTCCATGAACTGGGTTTGTGGTTTAGAGAGCTTACCTCCTGCATTCTCATCTGACAAAGTAACCAACTTTTCTCCTAGTCTGCTGGACATTTTGGCCGCAAGGAAGGATCCCCATGGGCTTTCCGGTGACATTTTGATCAATGGAGCTCCACAGCCTGCCAACTTCAAGTGTACCTCTGGATATGTCGTACAGGTAAATAAATTTAATCACTCTATGGATTTTATTGTCCCCTTCTGACTGCAGTTGTAAGAAGACTGCAGTGTTGCGAGTACCTTGCCTTGATCCAAAAATCGAGGCTGGGGCAGTAGCAACTCTCCACACGTCCACCCTCGCTGGGAAAGAGACTCTGCTTTGGGTTTGAGTCTCTTTCCTTTATGTCCTACAGTCAACGGGAGCGGACGCTTTGGCTGCCTCCTTGTTCTCCATTTGGGGGAACAGCCGTAGGCTACTAATATGCATGGAGTATTTTCCAAGTATAATCCTTTCTGGTAATATACACCTTGTACCTCCACTTGCCCAGGGACAATGTCACTAAGTCCCATTCTGGCAGTTGCTTCTGTCTCTCTGCATCCAAGGACGACAGAAAACACAGGTAGATGCAGTTCTCAGGGGAAAAAATAGAAATAGCTAAGCGACCACCAAGTATCTATTTTTTTTTTTTTTAATTAAGGATGATGTGGTTGTGGGAACCCTGACTGTAAGAGAAAATTTGAAGTTCTCAGCAGCGCTCCGTTTGCCAAAGTCAGTGAAGGAACAGGAAAAAAATGAACGAGTGAATCAGATCATCAAGGAACTGGGTTTGAGCAAAGTGGCAGATTCCAAGGTAAGGCATGTAAATATGGTGCTTAACTCATGAACAAATATTAAGTGATTTATTTAATTAACCAAATGGCTCAGCATGGCAGATTAAAAAAAAATTAAACAGATTATTTCAGTAATACAATAATTAATGACATTTCTGTATGACGATCTGTACAGACTCTGCGCTGATACTGCCATATGTTGTTACATTGCGGGGAAGGGGAAAGGTAGTCTGTAGTTGGAGAAAAAGAGAACATGCTCAAGTAATACTAACATTAAGAAACAGCCCGTGTGTGTGAGGTAACATCTACATCTGTACCTGAAAGTAGGGTCAAAATTTCTCACAACTCTTCCCAAATGCTGCCGTGTCGGTAGGATGCTGTTCACTCAAGCATTTGTTATCAGGCCAAACGAGACAAGTTTCTTGTTTGTGGCAGGTTGGCACCCAGTTCATTCGTGGGGTGTCTGGAGGAGAGCGGAAAAGGACCAGTATTGGGATGGAGCTCATCACAGATCCTGCCATCTTGTTTTTGGATGAGCCAACTACGGGACTCGATGCCAGCACTGCTAACGCTGTCCTACTGCTACTGAAAAGGTGACGGCCTTGGAAACAGCTTCCTGTTTTCACTGCTCAACTCTGCTACATTTCAGTTGTATTTGACTTAAATTACAGTCAGAATGAGCAAACAGGGAAATAAGACATGTAATTGTTTACCGGCGAGCCAAGGCTGCAAAGCGGGTAGGAAAAAGGCTGTATGAATTCTCACTCCAAAGCAGCTGCTCACAGCGGTACACAAAGCGCCTTGCACAAAGCGTGTGCATGCCGGGACTGCGGTTTGGCCATGATAGCTGTCACAGCTTCATCTATATTCGTGTCTGCCTGGGCCAGAAAAGTGATAAAAAACACCTGTTGTACAGCCTGGTAAGGTGATCGGTTTTAATATGGACGGTAGTTAGAACACAGCTAGCCGTTTCCCCATCACAAAATCTCAGGCCTGTTTTTGGGAAAACAAGCACCACACAATCGCTATTTGCAAATTTTGCATCATTTTGCATTTACTACAAGCAAAGAGGACTCAAACGCCTCTCTCCAGAGCTTTCTGATTGCATCAAAATTTTCCCAGGAACTTCCCCTCCAACAACATTCTCAGTGAGAGGGAACTTCCTTTTCTCACACAGATGCTATAAATATGACCTATTTTCTTTTCCTTTTTTTTTTTTTCCTTCTCCCTCCCCTCTCTGGCACGTCAAGTTAATCAAACTTAAGCAAGGCTTAACTGAACTTGCAAATTCTCTTACCTAAATGCTGAATCGACTTGCAAAGCTAACACCTCTGTCGTTCTTCACTTCACATTCAGGATGGCAAAACAAGGAAAAACAATAATCTTCTCCATCCACCAGCCTCGGTACTCCATATTCCGACTGTTTGACAGCCTGACGCTGCTGGCCGCGGGGCGAGTGCTGTACCACGGGCCTGCTCAGCACACCATCGAGTACTTCCAGTCTATCGGTGAGCACAACTCATAGCAGGGCCAACTGCAGCAACACCTTTAGTTTGCACTAACTTGAATAAAATGCCAACAGCGCTTGATCAGAATTGGACATAGCGTGTATTAGCAAGCCTGGGATTTTAACAGGCTAAGCATTTCTCTTGGTGTTTCACCTCTTGACCCATACGTGGGTTTGGATGATAGGGCTGGCCTCTAATCAGCTGTTGCTGGGTGCATCTTAATTAGACAAAGTCCAGGCTAGGGCTGAGAAGGGCACATTGCCAGCTGTCCCCTTGCTTTCACTGATAGAGCTGTCCGGCAGTGCCCTTCATCTCTTGGGCAAGCACAGACCTTCTGAAGCCTGCAACGCTTATGGTGCAGGCTGCTCAACGGGCACAGCGGCATGGCTGGGTTCGTGATGGCCACGCAGAGCCTTCTGCCAGTCACACAACCAACGCTTAGGACTTGTAATGCTGTCACCACAGGCTACGAGTGTGAACCGTACAACAACCCTGCTGACTTTTTCCTGGACATCATTAATGGAGACTCCACTGCAGTGGCAATGAGCAAGACCGATGAAATTAACACAGGTATGAAACCCACAGCTGAGTGAAATTATCATAACGTGTATTTTGCCAGAAGGTGTCCAGCACAACACAGAAAAAAAATCACTTAAAGGTGTCAAACAACCAATAACCGTGTTGTACAAGCGTATGGTTATTGGTATGCATGAGAGTATTACCTACTGCTGATCCATGTTGCTTTAAAGGAAAAAAAACCCCACACCGTTCCTAAATCCTTTTTGTTTATATGTGGAAAATAATTAGCAAAACCTGAAATAAGTACCAAACTCACATACAGCCCTACTATATAAAATATTCCTGTCTATGCAAGAATAGTTTGCCTCTCATAGATAGGTATTTAGTAATTTATCATTGCTATCCATTTCTTCATAAACTGACCTGTATACTTTTGAGTCACACTCAAATTACAAGACGTTAAAGGTGAAAGAATATTTTCCTGTGTTGAAGTTGCAATGTCTGGGAGTATAAGAAACTGTTTTGTTACCTCTCAACGCAGAGAAAGAGCTTCTTTCATCTTTGAGGCAAATCAACTGAAGTCCTGCAGATGCAGAGACGATAAACCAGGACAATTGCTCCAGTTAGGGACATAAGTTGATGTAGTTATGCCTTCTATTTTTTACCTAATGGAATGGTTCATCTGTTGTGAAATTACTGTTTTCCTTCCTCTGAGTAGGATAGGGAAAGGGGGTAGAGATAGCGGACCAGTGTTCTCCTGATGCTTCCCTGAAGTTTTGGTAAGGCAGAAATTATCCCCAAACTAACAAATCAAATCTCACCTATGGTCAGTAGCATGCTTTTTCATCCTGTCTGTTGCTACGCATTAATAGCACACTCTCTTTTCACATGAATGAAAAGGGAAATGAAATAATGAATATGCTATATGCCCAAATACACAGTTACGCTATATCTTTACCAAAGAAGCAACCTGCATTTTACAAAAATGCTGACTGTGTTCAGGGTCTGACTAATATAGCTGGCAACACACGTTGTACTTGTCATTGGAAAAGCACACACTGGACTACAGTTGAGAAAAAAGGAGCTCCAGCTGAAATTTCTTTATGACAGACTCAGAAGTTTGACTGAAGTAGACACGTGCAGGATTACTTGGATCTAAAAGTCTGGGAGGTCTAGGATTATCTCATCAGATCTGCGAAACAGATTACTTACAGAAACCAAGGGCTGAGGGGGGGAATCACTTTTTGACTAAAAGTCAGATTCCTGCTCCTCGGCAGACAAGGGTTTACGTAGTCAGTCTGCTGTGAAGCTGCTGCCTGTGGGACAGGTTGCACAGGGCAACAACACAGAGGTTTGGCCTTATTTATACCAACTCTTTTGAATTGCATGCTATGAGACTGAGCGCAATGAATCACTGGAACTAAATGTGCATATTGTCTTCTGGTTCGTTAGTAACTCTCCCACCCCAACACAACTCTCCTGGCTTAACTCCTAAACATTCTTCCCATCCCTGACAGAAACAGTCATATTTCTTTTTAATCTTTTCAGCAGAGGGCACTGAAGAACACACTGAATATAATAAAACCTTGGCTGAGAATTTAGCAGAAAAATACTCCAACTCTGCCTACTACCAAGAAACAAAAGCAGTATTAGATAATAGTTCTTTGGGAAATAAGAAGAAAACAAAAGCAGTTTTCCGACAAATCACGTATGCCAATTCCTTCCTTCATCAGCTGAAATGGGTGTCCAAGCGCACATTTAAAAATCTGGTAGGAAACCCTCAAGCTTCCATAGCTCAGGTAATGCTATTTGTATCTATCCTTTTGTGGTATACATTGAATTTATTCCACTCCTGTATTAGATAAGTCGCTGGGATGGTTTTGCCTCTTGATATTTTGACTACAGTAAGCATGTGAAAAAAGAGTGTTCAAGGTCTGGAGATCTGATTCACCAGAAGGCGTCCTGAATGCTCCCAAATGAGCAGCATGAGGGAGTGCTCAGTAATTAATTTTGGACTACTGAAAGACTTTGGGAGGCACGATCTTTTCCAGCAGGATATTCTGCTGCTCCCGGCCAGGAGCAGATAATCTCTCCCAAGTAGTTTCACACATTTGCTCAAGAACATTCTTCAGACTTGTCCATAATTGTCCAGGCTTGGCACTGTGGGGTTTGGCCTCAAGTCTTCTCCCCTACCAGGGAAAGTTAACAGACTACACTTACATACTTAATTAAACTTCAGCACACAATGAAGTGCTGGAAGTTGGCTCAAGTGTAAAAATATTTTCACTGTCTCGTAATGTGTGTGTCGTTTGGTCGTTTGACTGTTCATAACGGCCATGATGTCTTGTGGAGAAGATGCGATGAAGACTACAATAGGGTCTAACACCTGCCACAGAAGATGAGCATGTTCTACATGACTGGCCCTGTTAGTACTGCTTTTTCAGATGAATCAACACTAGAAGTGCTGATTTCTTCAAAGGTGCACATTGCCTTCAAAAATACAGAACGCCTGGCTGACCTCTGCAGAACAACTAATCCCGAGGAATCCCCTAATTCACGAGCCAGACTCTGCAGTGCCAGCACCAGCAAAACTCTCACTGCAATTCTCAGCAATTCCAGAGGAGCCAATAGAAAAATTGGTCTCAAGCCAGGCGTATAAATTATCTTCATCATGGTTTATATAGTGAGTGAACAAACAGCCAGTGTGGAGGGGAAATGAGTCCAGAACCCCCGAGGTTAAAAGGCGTTGAGTATGTGTGTGCGTCTGTATGTTGATACTATGGAGATCCTTAATAATTGCTTTGTAAAAGCTTGACCTTGTGACAAGAATTAGACTCTCAAGGATCTCGTAATACCCCAAGGTTAATGGTCCTGACTTGTTTCTCACAATCTTTTCTATCTCCCCACCCTCATTAGGGATGGATTTTAACTAGCATTCTTTGAGAGGTACACAGCCCATTAAGCCTTTTTTCATTAATCTGCTCCAAATTGGTCTTGATATGATCCCTGCTTTCCACTGCAATTGGCTTAGGAGTTGAATTATCCCCGACATTTGCTCCTTTTGGCAGGATCTTAGTGATAGGGTACCATGGATCAAGGGGTTTACGCTATTATAATTCCTGCATTGCTCAGGCTTAAAAATGACAGAACTGCCTGATACCATCAGTTTTGTTGAGACTTTTGTCGTTTGCATTTAGCATTAAAAGAGGGTGATGTACACACTCCAGTCTTTTAAATTATATCCTTGAGGCAGCTCGTATCTTTGCTTTTTAAGTTGTTACAGACTGCAAATATCAGTACACCTATAGCCCGACCGTAGTATCTTGCTCATAGAATCATAGAATCATAGGATAGTTTGGGATGGAAAGGACCTTTAAAGGTCATCTAGTCCAACCTCCCTGCAATTGGCAGGGACATCTTCAACTGGATCAGGTTGCTCAGAGCCCCCTCCAGCCTGGCCTTGAATGTTTCCAGGGACGGGGCATCTACCACCTCTCTGGGCAACCCCTTCCAGTGTTTCACCACCCTCATCGTGAAAAAATTTCTTCCTTATATCTAGTCTGAATCTACCCTCTTTTAGTTTAAAACCATTACCCCTTGTCCTATTGCCACAGGCCCTGCTAAAAAGTCTGTCCCCATCTTTCTTATAAGCCCCCTTTAAGTACTGAAAGGCTGCAATAAGGTCACCCTGCAGCCTTCTCTTCTCCAGGCTGAACAACCCCAGCTCTCTCAGCCTTTCTTCAGAGTGGAGGTGTTCCACCCCTCTGATCATTTTTGTGGCCCCTCATGTTAAATACAATCCCGTGAATAAGATGAGTGATAGAGCCCAGCAATTACAGAATGTGGAGCATGAAAATACTGTCATCCCCAACCCGGCAGTCAGGAAAGATTGGTTTTGGTTACTGCTTGCCAAGCTCAAAGTAACATTGAGATGGCTCCAGAGAAACCCCCGCAGAAGCGCTGCACTGAAGAGCCGTGGTCAGCACTAGAGCTGAAGTTACCCTTGTTACTGAGAGCAGATGGGGAGTCACTGACTGTCCCAACGAGGAGGAATGGTGGAGAGTATCAGCAGGGAGAGAGGAGTGATGTTGCAATACATCATTACCAATTAACTTAATCATGACATCCAAGAATGGCTGAAACAGTGGTGGGGGAAAGGAGCGTGGCTGAGGTGCAGATGCTGCTGGTGTTCCTCTGGGGAAAGGCGTTATTCCCTCTTTCTAACCTGCCCCACCAAGCCCCTGCTATCATCCTCCTCCCATCGCTGGTGCTAGCACCCTCCCGGCACTCCCAGAGCAGTTCCCTCAGGTCATAGATCTGGCCCGGCAGGAGGTCAGGGAAAGGCTGTGATACTGCTGCAGGATTGTGCCTCCTGCCAGTGCCACCACAGAAGAATGAGCAGCAGCGAAGCTCCCGTATTGTCCCTCCTTTCTAGCCGTCCCAGTGCCTTGCCCGCGTGAGGCAGCAGCGGCTGGGCGCCGCCCCGGGGGGGGGGGCCCGGGGGGCGGCCGGGAGGTGGCACGGGGGAGCTGCTGTGTCTCACAGACACCTCTCGAAGGACACCGCGGCGCAAGACTCCAAGTACTGCCGTGCTGCAGGTTGCTAACCGCCCCGTCGACTCCCTTCCCAGCTTGGATAGCTTTTCTCCTTTCTGAAAATGCTTCTTGTCAATCTACACTCACCTGCTACATATTTCAAAAAAACTACTGAAGCTTTGAAAGCAATGAGAATAATACTTCTTTTCTTTTTTCCATTTAGCTGTGTGTTACGGCTTTCCTGGGACTGGTTGTAGGTGCCATTTTCTTTGGACTTAAAGAGGACTCTGCCGGACTACAGAACAGGTCGGTCAGTTTAGGTAATGGATATCCGAAAATTTGATAAAGCTCCCTCATTGTCGTGATAGGATAACAAACAGCTTGGAGGCTGAGAAGGAACCCGCGAGCTCTTTATGAAACATATCTATCTACCTCTTTCAAGCAAATGCCTCCCTTCACATCAGTAGGTAAGGCCAAGTCTACGTTAGTGACTCCAAAGTGAGGATGTTCTTCTGCCTCTGGGAAGGTCCCTGCAGAACTGAGAGGGGGATGCAGTTCTGCCCTGCCAGGCTGTAACCTGGACAAGCAGTCCGAATGAAGTGAGTAGTGCTCCTTCTGTAGGATGCCATTTTTCAGTGCCAGTCAGGTTGCTGAAAACGCTGAACAGCAGTCATCATATTTAAAAGGTTTAATTCAGCATGGCAGCTTTTTAACTTCTTTTCTGCAAAGATTTCCCCAAGATAAAAAAAAAATTCAAGATTAAAATATCCAGACTTGGCTACATAAACCTGGGTAACTAAAGCTTTGATCTTGCAACTGCTTCTACATACACACTTGAGTTTACCAGCAGTAAGTCAGAATGTGCATCTAAAGCTAGATTTTAAAATTATTCCTGTCCATGCATCATTTTGACAGCTGTTATGTACATCACCTGACAAATGGGCTTGCAACTAAGAAAGCTCTGGGTTCTTAGTGTTGAAACGCTTCATAGCATTTATGTAAAAATGGCCCGGTTTTAAATTGGATATGAAATTGTGAAAGCAAAGCCCTAAATTTTAGTGGAAAAGGTGAAAACAACTTTTCACATTGCTTACTCAGTTCCTCACAGTTTGCATCAGACAAATGCCTTACGGACCGAGAATTTTTAATGTGTCAGGAAATTACGTAAAAAAAAAAATAAGGAAAATCAGTTCATTTTCTGTCCTTTGACTGCATCAGAGAACATACTATCCTTGCATGTGAATAACAAATACTGCCTGTACCACGTCTACTTCAGGCTTGTTACGGACTCAGACTTGTAGCCAAGCCTTTTCCCGTGCAATTCAGGATGGGAGGTCACATACTGCCAAGCTCCAGGCGCTATGGTTGGATTTATGTACACTGTAGTGGAAACACTAAATTTACATCACATTTTTAATAACGGCTTGCTATTTTGCTTTTTGTAGACTGGGTGCAATGTTCTTTCTGACCACCAACCAGTGTTTCAGCAGCATCTCAGCTATTGAACTCTTTGTTGTGGAAAAAAAGATATTTATGTAAGTAAAAGATACAAAAAAGTTATCAGGGCCTACTGTTAGAGAGTTTGTTTGTTTGCCCTGCTGTAGGTTATTGTCATTTAAGTATACCTGGTGCAGAGTTTTCAAATTATTTCACTGTTAGTGCTCCTTGCAAATATACTCTTTTAGCCTGTTAGTGTGTTGTCTGCAAATCGCCAAAACGGTACCTATGAGTTTAAAATTATTAACATATGTAGGAAAAAACCCTGAGTACTCAATTTAGGTATTGATTAATAAGTTTGTGACTTGCTAGTGAGGACAGTAAATACTATCTAACTGGATTCTTTAAAGCTGTGCAGATTACACTGTACAGAAAAGGAAAATTATTTAAGCTTTATCCTCTTTCTCTTTTTTGATGACACAACACATACATTTACTAGAAATCATGTGCACAAGTATCCATATCATTTGCATATGAAAATGGCACCATTACTATGGCTTACTGGACAAATGCATTACAGCCTAACCATGAAAAAACTCATTTTTTCCAGTTTGAGCTAGAATTAATTTGTCTCCAGGTGAAAATAATCTTACTCTTTTTTAGTGATTAAATTTGTAATACGCTGTATATATCTCTGTGTTCCAGACATGAATATATCAGTGGGTACTACAGCACATCTCCGTATTTCATCTCAAAGCTAATGGCTGATTTAATACCCATGAGGACTATACCAAGCATCATCTTCACCTGTATAATTTACTTCATGTTAGGCAAGTACGGTTTCCTACAGGCCCATTACAACCCCCTCAATACATGAACAAGGCACTCGCATTTTATATTTGTGCATGTATACATGTATATTTATATAGGCTAAAGCACTACATCGGTATGGCAGCAGTTACTGCACTTGCTTCTAACATACCATGCTGTTTACAGAAAAGACACGCTTTCAAAGAGTTAAGCATTCATGTCAGAATCTGTGACACGTCTAATCTCCACCATCCCTAGAAGGAAGCGTGCCATAACCTCTGCTACATAGGTTTGATTTATTCCTTTTCATTTCATTCTTAGCTTCTGGTGACTTTTACAGGATGCTTTTTCCATCCTTGCAAGAACACCTAAAGAAAAAGTTTTAAGAACTTAATATTGTGTGAATTAATATCAGCTTGCTCTTTTTGGTGAAATGCCTTCTGGTTAGTGAGCAGACTTTGAAAATTGCTGGCACCAACTTTTTCAACCCTAGAACACCTTCAAATGTCATCCTCAAAACGTGTCCCAAGCAGACCATTTTCCTAGGGTAAGGTTTCAGATCATGGCATCCTTTTGGGATGTCCCAAAAGCTTGAAAGTGCAAGCTTAAAAATAATTACAGTTCGCTTTGGTCTGAATTTTTTTCCCTAAGGAACAGGAAACAAGGCCACATCAGCAAGAGGCTCTCAGACTGCTAAACTGGAGTGAGCTAGACCTTGCTACCAAATTCATAGCCAGCCAAAGGCCACTAGGTCCATTAGGAGAGCTCTCTGCTGGAAACAAGTGAAATGCTGTACAACTGCTGCTCATGGAAGCGCACTAGGAGTTTCTCCTTTGATAGACAACTTGAAGCCACAGTGAGGCCTTCACCTTGGACTGTGTGGAGTACAGTACTGTAACTTCTACCCGTTCTGCTATCTCCAGTGTTACTGCAGTTACAGGCACACTACTTATTCACCCTGTCCTCTCTTGACAGGGCATACACATATGGGCTGTCACAAGCCCCGCTGCAGTCTTGGGTCTCAGTGAGGCAGCCTATGCTGTCAGACAAAATGTATTCTGTAGGCAGGATACACTACGTAAGTCAGGACAGTGTTCAGGTTATGGTAGAGCTTTTGGCAGGATCATACTGAAACCCTTCTTGTTCTGATCTTTAAGGTTTGAAACCAACAGTAGAAGCCTTCTTTACAATGATGTTTACCCTTATGATGGTGTCCTACACAGCCACTTCTATGGCACTAGCCATTGCAGCAGGACAGAGCGTGGTCGCTGTAGCAAACCTGCTCATGACTATCGCATTTGTTTTTATGATTGTGAGTAGCATTATTCAGTTTTCTAGACTGAATCCTGAAATCTGGAAATCCTACTGGCACAGAGTTCAGCTGAATTCTGCAAAAAGACTGTGGGGTCAAGCATGTCGAATATCCTGATATGTCTGATTTGAATATTCTGGTACTGTGGGGTTGAACATTCTGATTTGTCCTCTTAACTAACAAGAACCAGGGGGCCGGGTGTGAGGCAGAGGGAGCGTGGCTCCTCTGCCCTCTTCTCGGTGGCTCTGGCAGCCGGCGTGCTGCCTGGGAAGCAGAAAAGCGACCTAGAGCTACATTTCAGTCACTCTCCTTTAGCTTTTCCAAAGACAAGTTTGGCTGGCTGAGGACATGACCCGCAGCCTCCTGCTCTCCGAGACCACTACTGCAGTTGCCCTCTTCAGCTGCAGAGCCAACCATCGGGCGTGTTAGAACCGGACAACACACAAACAGCTACAGTTAGCAGACAGGCACCACAAACAATGAGGCCGTGCTGAACCAACAGCCAAAACCCACGTTGCCTCAGACTCAGGGCAGACAAGCAAAACCGAGCGCGCACCTCCAGCAGCTCCACACAGCCGAGTAGCAGCAGACAGTTCATGCGAACCCATGTGGGACCCACAGACGGGATGCACCCGCGTTTAATGCACGGGTGAAAGCATTCCCCGTTTCTCATTTCGGGAGAAGGACCACATGGGGTTATGGCCCAAAGCTGGGTAATAGAAATGGTTTCTTCCCTCTCCCCTGTTGTTTCCACTGGAAAGAGTTTCTTCCTCTAGAAATGCCTTCCCACTTGTTTTTAATCTGAAGCAGCAGAGTCAGGAGCTAGGAGAAGAACACATGGTAATAGCATGTAATTTGTAATTTCTTTTTTTGTTGTTGTGGCTTTTTTGTAATCCTTGCCTCTAGATTTTCTCTGGGTTGCTGGTCAATCTCACGAGCATCATGTCCTGGCTCTCCTGGCTCAAGTACTTTAGCATCCCTCGATACGGAATGACAGTAAGTGCTGTATTTTCCTGTGTACAGACTTGGAAAACATTTGCTAGAAAGGAATGTCTTTACTCATGATGATAAAGAAAATGCTAAACTTTATGGGCTAATGAGCAAAAGGTCAGCTAATTAAATAGAGCAACTTCAGAACATAGTGCAGTATCTTGAAATAAGAAAGGCTTTTCATCAACCAGCACCCACTGCTGTTTAGAAGAGCTCATTTCTGTAACTTGGAAACACCTCGTATGAGAGAGAGACGAAACAACCACATCCACTGGAATGCGGTTGGATGAAAACGACACAAAGAACAATGTTATCCCTAAAAACCAGTTCTTCTCTTTTTCATCAATCAAACAAAAACTTGTCAGGCTAAAGCTTTTCTCCTAATTTTTCATAATTTAAGCCAGGGTGATGTTTTGCGGAGAAATTTGGGCTTTAATATGCCCATGCAGAAATAGTCTAGCCTGGGAGAGGTGTGAAAGCCTGGTGACACGCGTGCGTTACAGTTACATTCCCCTCTTAAAAGAACCATGCTGCTCAGTTAAAAAATGGGGATTTGGCCAACATAATAAATAGTGATACCATCATGTTTTTAGAATAAATTTGAATTGAATTATGTCTCATCTTGTTAATGTATTATTCCTTTACCTGCTAATTTCTGTTGTCATTGTTTCTTTCATTTTAAAAGGCTTTACAAATCAATGAATTGACTGGTCTGAACTTTTGTGGCAGCAGTAACAACACGAATTTAATCAGCAACGATAACTATCGACAGACAAGCCAGCCGTAAGTATCTTGGTACATTAAAATGAATCCCACCACCAGTAACTTGCAAAGTCCTAGAGCACTAGTCTGTTTGTGAGATACTCACTGATGACCAGCAGAATCTCTGAGTTTTTACATGGAAAATGAAGTTTTGACTGGGTTTTTGCATTCTGTCTGCAGAGAACATTCTGCTTATTGTCATATTTAGCATTTAGAACACTAGAAATATCTGGCGTTATGCTTCTCACTTTTCTTTAAACTGCGTTTACTGAAACACATACACGCGCACTACAATTACACAGCCTCACAAAATCCATTTCAGCCTCCTACAGAAAACTGACTGTAGCTACAAGAAAAACAGATACACAAATGGAAAACAAAATAGGAACATATAGCTGGTGTTTGCCTGGCCTACTGTAGACATGAAATCACACTACAACTCCTAGGGATCTTCCTAGGTACTGCAAAGTGACTAAGTTTATAAACGTGTGTGTATTTATCTGTAGGTGGTGTACCGGAGATGAATATCTGAAAAATCAAGGCATTGATGCGAGTAGCTGGGGCCTGTGGCAGAACCACCTGGCTCTCGCCTGCATGACAGTAATATTCCTTACCATTGCCTACCTAAAATTGCACTTCATGAAGAAGTTCTCCTAAAACCAGAATGAAAAATGCATTTCCCACCGTTCAGTAGTTTGAAAAACTGGCTTAATTCTTTCTTAAGAGACCTTCCTTTGTACTTTTGTTTATGATTACACAAGTCGACAATGTGAATGCCATCCTTGTATATAAAATACTTAGTATTAACGTACTTTGCTGAAATGTCTAGCATGCCTCAGTTCTCTTTGCCATAAAAAGTATACAACTATTCATTTCTTCAAGAGACTATTCACTCTTTCTCCATGTTCTAGCTATGAATTTGTTAAACAATGAAACTAATATTTAATCGCTTAACCTGGAAAAAAAAGAATGGTTCCATACTTTAATTAGCACCTACATTCACTGGCAAGTAATTCAGTCCAAAGCGATGCTTATCAGGACACCAATGCAGTCTCCACTCCTAATGTGGTCACAGTCTACGTGAGACAGCGACAGAAACACCCTCTCCATCCCAGTGGACGCCTCATGCCCTTTTCTATTTGCAAATCATTACTGCTCTAGCGTGTACTTCATTGATGCCAGCAAGTTTTTTCTTACCAAGCTGGAGTGGTAGAAACACTATTTTTTAAATAAAGGTGACTGTATACTTTCTTACTCTGGCAGTTTGTGTATTCCTTGTACTGAAATGTGCATTTTCTCTGCGTAACTGCAAGTCATCTTCACTGTCCTGTTATTGCTGCTATCCTGAGTTCTTAGTCTTTTTTATGGTGACCAATGTCAAGTGTACAGCTAATCAGGATGATACCACATTTGTAAGAGTGCGTAGGTTGCAGTAACCCTTTCCCGGCAGGCCGGCTTTTCCCTGGCCCTACGCAGCGATGGTAGTTCGTCTCCTTCCACTTGGTACAGACGCAGCTCCTCCAGCAAGGAGCTCTGCCCTTATCACTCCCCATTATTATTTCATGCAATAGAATTTGCTCTGTTTTAAAGACCTGTTGCTTAATTTTGGGTGGGCGCCGGGGTGAGGCCCCAGCTGCCGCCCGGGCCAGTGCTGGCCGCGCTCGCTGAACGCAGGCGCTGGGCGTAGCGGTTCCCCGTCTGACAGGCTGCCCCTTGTCAGCTGACATCAAATGAAACTATTTGAAAACAGAACGATAGCGATGCAAAGGATTGTACCTGCAGAGTTATGCGTCAAGTAAATGCATAAAAATGCATAGAAGACAACTTTGCAGCTCTTCCTTGGGCTGTTCCCATTAATCTTGTTGCTTCTGCAATGTTTGCCCTAGTTTGTATGGGTCATACACAGCCACACTTGGAAATTTCTTAGTGTGGTCTGGCTTTTGTTGGTTTTTAGATCAACTGATTTTAACTTGTGCTAATAGAAAGCATAAAGTTAACCGTAATACAAGTTATTGTTACACTTTTCTGTCTCCAAATTTATTAGCATTGCATTTAAATTACAGTGTATTAAAATCAGTCACTCCCCAGTGGAGCGTGGTGTCCTTCTGCCAGTTTTCCTGCAGGTTTTCTCCCTGTGCCCACACCAGCGAGCTCAGCTCCTGCGGAAGCCAGCGAGAGCTGTAGGTACGCTAGGACAAGCTGCCCTCACACACCTAGAATAGCTGCGTTCCTTCCGCCTTTTTCTCCCTGTACTTAAGTACTTTTAACTTTTTTCTTCAACCAGAGTTTCAAGAAACTTACTTACAAGACCTTATGTCTCTAAGACTCTTATACCACTTCTTCCAGGCTGGTTGTAGTTTTATGTCTTTCAAAAATTATTCAAGGCAGAGCGCCAGAGCTGGAGCAGCAGTATGAGTGCATGCTCTCCTTTTCGGTCAGAAACACTTGGTTTGGAAGCAGTAGTGCAGACCCGGGGGAACGAGATGAGGCAGAAGAGTGAGGCTGAAGGAGCACAGGAAAAAAACCTACATTGTTCACCAGCCTCGCTTTGCAAACCTTGCAAGGGGTACCATGGAGTGGGGCTTTCTACAATAGTAACCTGTAGCTGTGCTCTGACATATTTCACTGTGAGTTTTGAAATAAGCGACACAGGTCCTGTGGAATAACGTTTTCATCAAACGCTATCATTCACAGTGGAACTGCAGGAGAGGAAACAGGCAGCTGTACAACAGCGTCCCAAATCTAACTGCGAGTTTTATCACCTTGACAAAGACATGTCCTTGCAGTGAGGTCCTTCCTCTGGGCGAAGCTGTTAACTCATCCTCTCGCAGGCTCTTGTTGTAGCCAGCAGCGGCTGCCCCCAGCTCGGACAGAGAAGCAGCTCCATCGCAGCGGCCAGCTGCTGGAACCCAGCGCTGACGCCTTTCCCACAAATCTGTTTTCTGTAGCCGGGCACGGATTTTGTGCAGAAGCCACTGTTACTTTCCACATCTGCTACAGAACTGTGGAGTGGCATTTGGTCTTGTCAAAAAACAGTTGAAATTTTAACAGATATCAAGTAGGTATTTTTAAAAACATTATGTTTCATCCCCTTTTTCATTCAGCTTTGTCACAACTCTGCGTAAGCATCCAGCAAATGAACTGAAAAGTAAAAAATGAAATAGGGTCATACAGATAAAATTACAGATTCACAGACACAACAGCACACACTAAGTTAAATTTTCAATTTCCAGCTTAGCTAGAAGGGGATCTTGTACAGAAAGGTGTTGTCATAGACCTGAATTTTAGGGAAAAACACATGTAATTTTAAGAACACATGTGCAAATAAAAATAACACACACGAGAGATCCTCAGCACTACAAAGAGCCCTGAAAAACTGAGGAAAGTAAAGAACTTGCTCGATCATTAATATTTCTGTATCTAGTTCTTTGAATGTAGTCAGTTTTCAGAAAATAGAAAACCCTCAAGTTTTAAAATCTATCTACCTGACTCTTGCACTACAAAATAATTTGCTGTTAATTTATACTTTGGTAAAAAACCCTTCAGTTTCTGAAGATAAAAATCTCTTCTCCTTCTTAGATTATCAGGAAACGGTCACCTTAAAACTATACTAACAGACAGATTCTCTACATTTACACTGGTGTGGCTGAACTATAAGTCTGACCTCATGTATTTCTATGCAGGTAACTAACAAATAGAACCAAATATGAATGTAGCCATAGTTTTGGAGTACTCAGGCCTTTTATTAGTTCTTGACAGATTTTCATTTGACAATATATCAAAATGGAGAGACATTCAAATTAACCAAATGAATATACAAATAGAATAATTTGGGGTTTGTTGTGCAGTGGGATCATGAAACCCAGCCTTAGTGCGATCCTGGGATGCACTGGCAAGGCAAACATTCCTAAGTGTTCAAGCAAAAGATTTGTTCCACATCAGCTGTATTTACCATCTGTGGACATGTCAGCGAGCAGCATATGACTACGCGATTTTGCTATGGGTGAACAGATGTGATAACCCCAAGCATTCTACATTGCTCCTGTTCAAGCCCAGAATTTGGGACATGTCTGACGCTTCTTTGCTCAGATTAGGCACTTTGATGTTCAGTGACATGATTTGTAGAGCAGAAATATTATTTGTGGTATAAATTTAAGTTCAAGACTTTTGCAAGATGGTACAAAGTTAGAAGAGCTGGGCAAAATGAAAACCAGGTTTCTCAAAATGGCTGTTCCAGCTGTACTTAGTGACTGAATACATTTTTAATTTGGAGAGAATTCCACTTTTTACTCAGCACAGAACCTGGAAATATCTATGTTAACTAGATAGGCAAGTCAATTTTTACTTTGCTTTTACTTCGTTTCATTTACTTCTCCAGGTTCCTTTCAGAACGGTTTTGTTTCTTCTTAGGCTCTTAGATAGGAGGATGCACATGGGCTCTCTGGAAATGGTTTGGTAAACACCGTAGCGGTAAATAACTGCCTTTGCTGTTTATGTCCCCTAAGGGACACATTCTGCATTAAAATGAAGGGAGTCATTCCATGCAGACTTGCACTGAGATGTCAGGTATCAAGCTTCCTGTGGTAAAACCTCTGTATACTAGTTTCCATATATCGGTATCAATATATGAATATATATATAGAATATATTTCCATATATTGATATACGGATAATCTATGTACATGGAGTTGTTGTCCTGTCTCCCATCCCATAATTCCATGGAAAGGATTTGGTTTAGGCTTAAACAACAACATCATTTAGGACAGCCTCATTGGGTTAGATACATCTTGAAGTTGTTGCTTATTTGCTTTTTCTTCAAAGTGTCTTTTCTGTTTGAGATTTGGGAGAAGAGTCATAGCATTACCTTGTTCTGTGAGCTGTGACCCTACCCAGCTCTCTCTCTGCTTTGTTTTTAGGATTTAGCCAATCTCTATTTTTACCTGCTTCATTTACATCGTTATATTTTGTAAGTAACGTGTATGATTTTTTAATTAAGAGATCCCAATTATTTCTGGAAAGGAAAAAAACCTGAGACGAAGCAGTATTTTCTTCAAGTCTTTCTTGGGACAATATTTATAATGTTATTTTACCAATCCAACCATCAACAGGATCAAATTTGATTTAGTTACTTGCCAGGAGAAGAATTTATCCTCAAGTAATATCATGTGAGCACTAAACCCTAACCTGCTTTTTTGCTCAGATTTTACATAAGCATTTAAAGTCAATGGCAATATATTTCATAAAAGCTATTTAAACATGGAAAAGGTCATCAGGATTCATACTGACATGCTTCATACTACTCAGGCTTGCACACACGTGTGTTACTAGTTAATCACAGCACAATTTCTCACAGAAGGGCAGGGGGAAGGATAAATGCAGCCATTGAATGCCAGTTCTGTTTTTTCTTTTACATTCAGGATGCCGAGGCAAGGGAGGACAATTACCTTTTCCATTCATCTGCCTCAATATTCCGTATTCAGAGTGTTTGACAGCAGGCCAGGTGTACCATGGCCCTGCTCATAACGCTTTACAGTACTTCAGATAGGTTGGTGAGCTTTCAGCAACTGGGGATTCTGGTCACAGTGACAGGCACTGACTAAAACAGACTTAAACCTTTCACCTTGCACTACCTTGATTGTGTTTGTAAAGAAAAAAAT